CAACGATGAAACAGTCCAGTTGAATTAAGTTCCTTTATTTGCTTATACCATATAGACAGAATCTTGCCAGACTAAAGCAATACTACTGCAACTAGTGGATATACCCTGGGAGATTCTAGGGAGTGGCTATCCTGAACCTCTTATGCTTCCCACGCTCCCCCTGTGGACTGTGTTGTCTTTTGTCTCCTTGCCCCTCCTGGAATGCACCCCCTTCTTCCTGATAGCCTTGATCTCTCACATCACCCTCCTCTTTCTAGATACATTCCATCACAATCCCCTTCCCCAAAAAGGGGAGATTAGATACTGGATGGAAATTGTCCAGTATAGTTGGGTCCAGCAATGGCCTCTTGAGGAGGGGGTGAACCAAAGCCTCCTTAAGTGGCGAATCCAAGCAATTTTGTCCAAAAGATGCTGAGCAAATCCCTCTGCATGCCCCTGCAAGAGGTTCTTCAAGACCCCCTTACCCTGGAGAGCTTGTGTCACTTGAAACTGGGCCGCAGGGCGGCTATCTCCAGACGCAATAAGAGCAGAGTAGTAACGCTTCACCACCCTTACCGCCACTAGGTAGGCCTTAATAGTGGCTTTAACCTGTGTTCGGCTGAGTTCATCCCTCATCAAGCGTCAGCAATGCTCTAGACACCTCTCCTCTCGCTTCATCTCCCTCAGCTCCTCAGTAAACCATGGAGAGTGACAGGATCCACAAGAGGGGAAAGGTCCCATGGGCGCTATCCGATCCAAGGCCTCAACCACCCCCTTATTCTAAGCGGCGATCAGGGCTTTGGATGGACTGTGCAACAGACCAGCAGAAACAACCCCCAGCTCCCTCTGGAACCCATCCGGATCCATTAGTCACCAGGGGCGGACCAATCTAATGGATCCAGCCACCCTGCAGTGGATAGTGGCACTGGAGAATCCCATGATAATCAGAGTGTGATCTGACCATGACAAGTGGGACATAAAAGCGCCCCCAATTTCAGATCACATAGCCACTGCTCCAACAGGAACACCAGATCTGGTGTATGGCCACTCTCCTATGGCAGGCTCTGGATGATCTGAGCCACCTCAGACCCCACTCCTAGAGAAGGCAGATTGAAGTCCCCCAAAACCACAAATCTGGGGAACTCCACTGCCAGCCCAGAAATGGCGTCAAGGAGCTCAGGCAGGGAAGTTGCTGTGCAGCAGGGAGGCTGGTACAACAGCAGCAATCCCAACTGATCCCTAGAGCTTCATGAAGAGGTTCTCACATCCAATATGTCTCACTTGCCAAGAAGACTACCACTGTATCATCTAACTGCACATTTCACAGATCATCTGTATCACAAAGTCTTGACTAGTGAGCTAATCATGTTCAGATATGCTTGATGGTACACAAGCAATTACTTCTAGGCAGAAGCTTTTCTCCCCAGAATAAAAACTTTTCCCAAATTAAGATTCTCTCAGTGTAAACTATTTTATATAATCAATATCCAAGACTTAAAAGCTTTTTTTCTTTTGCTTCACAGGAAATTATTGTCTATTGCAAATGAAATTACAGACTCCATAAAATAAATATCAAATACGATTTATCCAATAGGCCTGACCTCATAATATGTTGTCAGCTTTATAGATTTGATAGGAAACTAGGCAGAAAAGCCATCTACAATTAGATAGCCTATTTCAGGGGTGAGGTGTTCCACAGCGTGGGGGCCCAACAATGGTGTTCCCTGTAGCTGCCCTTGTGCTGCGGAACACTTCGCCCCCAAGATATGGAATGCCCTGAAACTCCTCATTTTTCACCAACTGTTTAAAACCTGGCTGTTCCACTGGGCCTAATAATGTACAGGCTGCCTATTTTACAGACAGTCTGGTGCTGTTTTGCTCCTATTTTTATTGCATATATTTTCTGTTTTTTGTAAACTGCTTTGAATCCTATGGAAATGGGTGGTATATAAAACTATGTTCCAAATCTGAACACAGCACCTAATGGATTATTTAGTTCCTTCTACTTTATTCACTATTTTACAACTAACGTATCACACAAAGCTGTAGCTGTACAGCTGATAAGGCTAATGACGGTTAGTGAGAATTTGTAAAGCTTCTAACCACGTTTTCAAATCTGCTGGTTAGTTTTGGACTGCACTACCATACCTATGAAAGGAAGAGGAATAAAAACAAGAGGAATAAAAACAAACAAGAACCAGATACTAAACTGTACCTACCATGATATCATATGAAAGTTTGTCTGGCAGCGTACTGAGTCGTCCCTCAAGTGCTTCATAGTCACTCTCAACCTTCTTCCTTTAGGGAAATTCAGACAAACATGCTGTCAGTCCTAAATGTTAATTGACTTTATAATAAACATATAAAGATATTATACAGATTTCTAAATTGAGGCTTGAACCAGAAACTATGCATTACGTGTAACATGAGTTACATGTTATGGTGGCAAATGGCCACAAGTAATTTGGTGGGGGGAAGTTCCAAGGTATCGCTCCATCTTTTTGTAAATACGATGTGTTAGAGTAATGCAAGGAATTCCACCAAGGCATATTCTCCAGGCTTGCAAACTGTTTCTGAAAAGACAGTTATTCTAAAGATGAGCGTTTCAGACATTTTTCTTTTGTCAATATCCATTAGGTTCAATCATATGCCCATTGGGAGGCCCATTTAATTCATCATAACTTATTTCTGAGTGGACTTAGATAGGGTTGCGCTGTTAGAAAACCCTGTCATTTGGGACTTGTTTCCTAAGGATGGGATATCATGTATGGTTGCTGTGGTTTTTAAAAAAATGGCAGAATTAAAAAGAAAACTTAAAGGCACCTTCCATGCAATGGCTGTCTTGTCTGCACGGCCACCAATCAGCCTGTACAGCAGAAAAGGGAACCGTTCATAAAGGAAATCCCTTCCATTTGAAATCTGTTGTATTTGTATAGTTTTACTGAGGGGTCTCAGGAAATATGCCACAGATTCCCTTCACAACTGGCTTTAATCTAAAGCAGTGTTTCTCAACCTCAGCAACTTTAAGATGTGTCCACTTCAACTCCCAGAATTCCCCAGCCAGTATGATGAGGTTGAGAAACACTGATCTAAAGGAAGTTAGTGATTAGACGCTACATTTCACGCTGCACAAATTTTTCACGGAATTTAACCGTGTCTGCAAAGGGTTTCGGGTTGTACAGGTATGCAGGCCTCCCACTTCTTTACACTATATTCCGCTGTGCATTTCTACCCCTCACTTTGTAATCTGCTATAGGTTTAGAGTTAGAAGTAGTTGTATTCTGATTCAATTTAGGAATATTTGTTTGTTTGTTTATGGCAAAATAGGAATGCCTGATAAAAAAGTCTGGCCTGGTATATTAAACCTAGTACTAACTAGCAGGAGTTCTCCAAAATTTGAACTAAGAGTCTTTCCCATCACTTGAAACTTCCTAAGCCAGATATGCGCAACCTGTGGACTTCAAAAGCCTTGGAGACAGCTCCCAGAGCCCACCCAAAAGAAACTGAAGGGTGAGATTGTTAACACCCTAACTGAAGAGTGACAATACTAACTATACTCATTTTAATCAAAATATAAGTGTAAATCAAATCAAATTTAGTTTTTGCCTTGGTCTTACCCACTACTTTATGGCAGGTGTCCCCAGGATGTTGAAGGCTAAAGACAACCTTTGGCCCTGAAAAAATTGTTCTAAGAAGAAATGGCAGAGACTGAATAGGAGGTCATCTGTTTGCAAATATATGCTCTGGCACTGGCCTGCATTCATCCTTCTCTTCTGAGTCAGACAATACAACATCTAGATCCCAACCACTTTGCATTGCTGTCCATAGGAGATACACCTTCCCATTCTGCCTCATCTTGCTAATTAAGCTTGACCAGATTAGAGGAAGGAACCATTGGCCTAGTTGCCTCACAAGGAGTCACCTCCATTTCCATTGAGATAGGAAGTGGAGGTGAATTATGTGGGAATGTGTGAAATTGTTTCCAAAAATGAAGCCCCTCTTCTTTTTGGGCTCAGCTGTTACATCAGAACATCAGCCAGGAAGAAAGCAGCGCAGTGCTGCACTCTGTAGGCAGTTTTTACACCAGATTTCATTATATACTACATTTTTCAGACAAAGGTTCTGCAGCAGTTAGAAGTACAGTATGAAAGTGCTAAGAAAGCTTGATTCCAGGAGCACCAATAGACACCACTATAATATCTGTCTTACTGGAAATTAATGCAGCCTCTGAATTTTAAACAGTAGAAAAACATATTAGCTTTAAACTGTTTTTTACAAACCGATGGTCACAATTTAATATGATGAGCATGAGATGGCCTTGAGTCTCCCTCCCTGTCCTCCTTATGCTCTGATGGCAGCTTATGTGCATTTAAACTAAGCAGCTCCCCCCAAAAAACCAAACATCTGATACATCTGAACTATAAATTATTTGTTCAGAGGTCTTTCAGGCATGAAGAAAAAGCCTCTTAAAATAAATTTAAAATATTATATGCTTGATGGTGTATAACCAAAAGTTTAATCTCTCCACTAAAGGGGGCAGTTGCTATGATTTTTGCAATAACCCTGCAGACAATAATCAAGAAAGCTCCTGTTGTTCTTTCCGTAAAATCCAAGCAAACACAGCATGGATGTTGCATAATTTGGTATCTGTTAAGAATGAGCGTTACCTCTCAATAACTCATAAACAACTGCTTACCTTTGAATATACCTTTTCCAATTAGATGGCCATATGAAACTTTTATTTATTTAAGATGTTTCTATTAATTAAAAAAGCAACATATTAAAGCAATAAAGAGAGGACAGAGTACTATTTTAAGGGATAAGTGTTCCTCTAAAATCTCAAGTTTATCTAAGGCTTTTAACAGGGATACTTTCGCAGCAACTGGATAAACTGGAACCACCTTTCAAGTAAAAAAAGTCCTTTGTAAATAGCAGACCTGATCATCTAAACTTCTTATACAGATATCTTGGATGTCTCCCAAGGCCATTTAAATACTCAATCATGACCGTTCTGTTTTCTTGGAACAGTAGGAAAAATAAATGGTTGGAGTTGGAGTTCACCGAGTTTTTAAAGACTTTTTATGTGGTTATTCTAGCTGGAAAAATGTGGAATAACTGAATGTCTTTTTAAAGAGGTGCAGATCTTAAAGTATGATTATAGTGGTGAATTAAAGCAATAACATAGCAATGCAGAGGGTGCAATTTAATAAGCCAAGCAGTGTCAAAATGATGCACCGAAATACAGTATTATATGAATTTGGTTAATTTTCTAAAGAATATATATGCAGGGCACTTTTCTAAAGCACACAGAGGCTATTTTCACTGATATTTTAGGCATGCAATCAAACATTTTTCACTTACCAGTGCTGAATTTTTTCTTGGCAGCTAGTGACCACCTGTCATTAAAACAGATAACTGCTCATGAAAAAAAGAAGGCTAAGCACACAGCTGCAAAGTCAATGTTTTAGAAACTAGAGCAGCAGCTTTATAGATTTAGTAACGTCTTGCTATACATTTTTATTTGTCAGCCCAAAGGCGCAGGAAATGTTCATTCTTAAGCAGCATACTTCATCACAGTGCTCTAATCCAGACTGATAACCACAGAATAAATTACAATATCCCCAACTCAGATTTTGATACAATGCATGCTCCATAACAAGATGGCGCAATACTGTACAAGATAAAGCTAGTGTTTTGTACAATCTACACATCTGCTTTCAATTTCACAACCTTTTCAAAACAACGCAAACATAATTTATGAAAGGCTTGTTGTCTGTTTTCTTTAAAAGAACCCATAAAAACTATTTCATTTTTATACTAATGGATGCCTAAGTCACAACATCACTCTGGCAAAGTTAAAAAAAAATAAAAATATATGCTCATCTTTTCACAAGCATAATATGTGCACAAATAAAAGTAAACATAAACTTGTCACATTATAGTCTTTTAAATTCATGAAAAGGTCACCATTTGGCCACCACAAACAAAATCACAAAATGTATTACAGTTGTTACATTCCATAATTTTCATCTAGCAATTGATAGCATTCACATCTGAAATACAGTTTCTGGACAACTGAGCCCCCCCCCCCCCAAATTAGGTAAATTTTATTAATTACTCATTAGATTTCTACCCCACCTTAAAGAGATATTCCTAACATTCTTTCTCCAAACTTTTCCACCATAACAATTCTGTGAAATTGGGCTTCAAAGAATGACTGGTCCAAACTCACTTCCTTGGCCAAAGGTGGATTTCAATCTGGGTCTCCTGCTCCTGCTCCTAGTCCAAAACCTTAACCACTACTTTTAATTTTTTTAATGTAAGTATAGCCCTTACTGGCCAGGAATGCTAGAAGTTACAACTCTAATAAATCAAGAACAGTGTTTCTCAACCTCAGCAAATTTAAGATGTGTGGACTTCAATTCTCAGAATTCCGCAGTTGTTGAAGTTGAAAAACATTAATCTAGAAATCACCAATTTGGGAAAGAACACTTTTGAGTCCCCACCTGATTTAGTTTTAACCTGCCTGATAACTGGGAAACAGTGAAGTACAAACAGTGGAATCCAAAGACTTAAGGTTAGAGCTTGTGTACATAAAGAGATTTTTCAAATTCTGTAATATTCCCTCTTGTCATTTTAATTCTCAAGCCTCCCTGAAGAGCTTTTCTAGAAGCTGGGAAACCTTCCAGAACAGACTCTAAAGCTACCAAAAATTGTCTTTAGAAGAAGAAACCAAGAGGGTCCTGTTTTGATTGCTGAATGTTTGGGTGTAAAGATTGGTATCTTTTACCTAGAGCTTACATATTTATCCATAAATTCAGTGCAAATATACATGTTTTATTATATTATTTATTATACATATATATTATGATACTATATATATGTGTATGTGTGTGTGTATGATTGATTG